ATATCGGGGGAAATGTTGCTACAAATGCAGGAGGCCTGCGATTACTACGTTATGGAAGTTTACATGGTAACGTGCTAGGGATAGAGGCTGTTCTTCCGGATGGAACGATTATCGATGACTTGTCCATGTTACGGAAGAATAATACAGGATATGATCTGAAACACTTGTTCATTGGTGGAGAGGGGACCATCGGCATGATCACCGGTGTATCCATTATCTGCCCACAACGGCCCAAAGCTATTAATGTAGCTTTCTTCGGCATTGAAAGCTACGAACAAGCCCTGAAGGCTTTCCTGGAAGCTAAAGGCCATTTGTCAGAAATCCTATCCGCGTTCGAATTGATGGACGGGCGCAGCCAGGACATGGTACACAAGGTGACTGGATTAAAGAAGCCGCTGGACGGATCATATCCGTTCTACTGCCTTGTTGAAACAAGCGGTTCAAACGGCGAGCACGATAACGAGAAACTCGAAGGTTTTTTGGAACATGTCATGGGCGAATCTATCGTGGCAGACGGCGTTTTGGCTCAAGACGAAACACAAGCGCAGACGCTATGGCGGTGGCGGGAAGGTATCACTGAAGCGTTGAGCCACCTGGGCGGAACTTACAAATATGACGTCTCCATACCGCTTGCAGAACTCTACCAACTAGTCGATGACACGAGAGACCGGTTGACGAAGGCTGGTCTGGTTGGAGATGACGAGAGCTATCCGGTTCGGGAGGTGTTGGGATACGGCCACATGGGTGATTCAAATTTACATCTCAACGTTGCAGTTCGGCAGTATAGCAAGGATGTCGAACAACTGATTGAGCCGTGGGTATATGAGTGGATTGCGAAACGGAATGGAAGCATCAGTGCAGAACATGGCTTGGGCATTGCGAAGAAAGAATTCATCGGTTATAGCAAGAGCGAGACGATGATTAAGTTGATGTCCCAGCTAAAGAAGCTTTATGATCCTGTAAGTTCTTTCAATTCATTTGACTCTGCGTGATTTTATGTTCTCTTTACTAACATATTATCGGTCAAGAACGGCATCATGAATCCCTACAAATACATGTAACCCCGTTGATGTATCTCCACTGCGGCTTGTCAGGTTTACTGTCTCTGTTTAGACGATTAGGAATTTTAAAGATGCTGCATTCTTGTATTATAGTAGTATATATGGAGCGTTCGGCTAATACTAGTTTTGGATAAACTTTGACTTTAATTTGGTTAGAATACCCGGCTTTTTGTCTTTGCTTCCGTGCATTTGTTCAATTTTGGACCATTCAACCACGTCTGCTCCATATGTCAAGGTCACCTCAAAATAGTAACTTGGAAGGTTCTGAATTGCAAGTTTGGATATTGTCCCACGTGATTCTCCCGGTGAAACACTCGGCCCGATGTCGATGACGTACGGAGGAATTATCCCCAAAACGGTACTAGGGTCGGGTGTTGCCATGGACAACCGGTGTTTATCCACAGAAACAACTTTGAGCAACTGTCCCCACTCCGTCGGACCATGGGTTGAATCTCAATCCTTGCAGATTTGATATTGGCATATTGGGCTAGTTTCAAGTTTCAGCAACGGGATATCGATAAGTTATTTTTTATTGTTTTTATTATTAGCCCTCCAGATGCTGTTGTCCACTCGTAGCGTACTACACTTGATTGACTGAACTGGGGGACTGTCTGCGATTGTTGGGCCACGGTTTATACCTTCCTGGGATTCTACCTGCGGTCCCATCCGCTTTTCGCAAACAGCTGTGGGCCTGCTTGCAAACGAAACAAAGTGCCCCGTCTCCGGCTCCAGCGTATTTTAAGAATACACGTACGCAGAAAGGGTGAGATATGGCCGACGAAGGAGCTTTGGCCAATGGCTATCAAATGCTAGAGGAACTTGGGAGTGAGTCCAACCAGGGATACTACTGTCAATTGACGAGTTTTAGAAAGCTAATGTTTAATTTTGTTTTTCTCTAGGTGGCAGTTTTGGAACAGTGTACAAAGCCATCGAGAAGGACACCGGTGAAATCGTGGCCATAAAACATGTATGGACCTTGTTGAGCTGACGGGACATCAAAGTCAAATGTTTGTTGAAATGCTCTCTAATGGTCTATTTTCCTCTCAGATCGACCTCGAATCTAGTGAAGATGATATCCAGGAAATCCAACAAGAAATTGCTGTTCTCGCAACATGCGCCAGTCCCTATGTGACACAGTACAGGACTAGTTTTCTCAAAGGTTACAAACTATGGATTGTGATGGAGTATTTGGGTGGTGGATCTTGCTTGGATTTGGTAAATATATTCTCTGGCATTCAGCATTAGCATTCTGATGTCGACATATTTTGTAGGAAACTAACACTCGAAATATTACAGCTGAAACCTGGCGTGTTTAACGAAGCCCATATCGCCATAATCTGCCAGCAACTGCTACTAGGCCTGGATTATCTACATCAAGAGGGGAAAATACATCGAGACGTCAAAGCTGCTAATGTCCTTCTATCGCAATCCGGAAAGGTTAAACTGGCAGATTTTGGCGTTGCAGCCCAACTCACGAACATTAAATCACAACGCAACACCTTTGTCGGCACACCATTTTGGATGGCTCCAGAAGTTATCCAACAGGCGGGATACGACTTCAAAGCAGATATCTGGTCATTGGGTATTACGGCAATGGAAATGGCTAATGGAGAACCTCCAAACGCGAGCACACATCCAATGAAGGTCCTCTTCTTGATCCCGAAGGCGCCCGCTCCAAGATTGGAAGGCAGCAACTACAGCCAAAATTTCAAGGATTTCATCGCTCAATGCTTGATAAAGGATCCCGATCGGAGGGCAACAGCCAAAGAACTGTTACGACACAAATTCATCCGGAATGCAGGTAAAACGGAGGCATTGCAGGAGTTAATTCAGCGAAGGCAAGAGTGGGAGGCAAACAAAGGCCTGCCAGATAATATAAAATATTACGAAGAATCTATGTACGAGCGCTATCTGAGTAAGATGTTTTGAGAGGTATTTTGCTAATTGGATATAGGACTACCATGGATCATAAGGACGATGAAGACGGATGGGTATTTGACACACTAAAACCTGGCACAGTAGCCATTTCGCGCAATACCCAAAAAAGAATGAAGATATCCGAGCCACAAATCGACAAGGTCAATTTGGAGGAGCCCTCGGAACTGATGAGGAAGATGGAACTTACAGACACATCCAACCTGCCGAGTTCCATAAAGCCCGTTGCCAATTCTACTGTACGACGTTCAGCACCGTCCGCAGAACGATCTCCGTCTGTAAAACGGTCGAATACTAAACGACGATCGAGTGGGGTAAAACAACCACTTGGGTTAAACCTCAGTTTTGGAAATAGCCCTTCAACAGTTAGACAATTCCGTCGAGTATCAGATAAACAAGTGGATTTGCCAAATGAGCCCTTGGGATATCCTCCTGGGATGGATGAAAATTCGGCACCAAAGACGTTGTTTTCGGAACCGAGTAGTAAAGAAGCCATACTAGGACGAAGAATATACAATAAATCCATTGGAATTTCGTGCCAGGAGGTGCTTTCGACTACGTGGGATCAGGAAAATCGAGAGGCCATATCTAGGCTTGCGGAAGCATGGAGCGATCTGGAAATGGTCGACCCTGAGGGCCTTTATCAGATTATGAAATCATCCTGCGACAAAATGCAAGCGTGAGTCATATCCTCGGTGTCATCCCAACTCATTCTTGGTGTGAATGTCGCTGGCAGCTGTACTAACCAGTCATTTTCATTTCAGCGACCCTAAGCTTTCCGCCATTCTCTTCCCCAAACAGGCCGTCTCAGAGTCGCCGCAAAAACCTAAGCTCGTTCTTGCGCAAAACAACCCCCATCTTAAGAGTCATCGGCGGCGGCAATCCGAGCAGATCAATGCTGATGGCAATTTGAATGGGGCGGGTTTGAACTTGCCAGGCCAGCAAGTTCTCGGAATGGAACATACCAAGCAACTTGCTGATGTCCTTTATGATCGATGGGCGGCAGGCCTTCGTAACCGATGGCGAGCTGTATAAAATTCTTTTCTCTCTCCCTTTTTATTACCCAATGATCTTGGAGAGCCCCCAAAGCCGGTGAATGGCGTTGGCGCTTGTATTATGTTCTCTTTTCTCGCCTCTTCTTTGGATTTGTGGTGGTGCTAATTCTATCTGGTTTGCCAATCTACGCGCGAATATACACACGAATGCATTACTTTTTGTTTCGATGACCACGACATCAGCCGGAACATACATTACTGATTGTTATTTGCTATAACCACTCGACTTCACTCGACTTCCACGCATTTCTCTCTTCCAACCCTTTTCTGCGTTGTCCACATACCCTATGTTTCTCAAGTGAGATCTAAATCTGCGCCGATATGATGTTTTCTGATGTATGTATATACGAATGAAAGATAGACAACTGCTTTGATGATGGTTGTATGATAGCCATTTTACGTACAAATTTCTTCTACTTTTCTTCCTGAGTCGTGCTTAATGTGAGAATGAAAAAGATTAGTAGGCTTGACCTAGAAGCTTTCGCCCTAAGCCATCATGGCATTGATTTATTACATCGATCTCAAAAAAACAATATTAAAACTCTGTTTCATCACATGCTGTGCCTGCCTGATAAGGTAAAGCCTCACTTAGAAATCTCAATAGGTTGAAAGCTCGTGCTATGCAAGCCAGTACTCAGAAATAAGGACTAAAAAAACGAAACAAGTTTCGTGAAAGTTTTGAAAGTTTTTCATTTCCACTATCAAATTATATATAGTATGATTTAAACTTAGCTTCTAGTTATTCTTTCTTCATCTTCTTTTTTTCTTCCTGTTTAAGTAAAGTTTCTGAGGGCTAGAATAAAACTGGCCTATTGTTTTTGGAGTTTGAGGGCAGAAATTTGAGGTGTACCGTCTTGAAATACGATCTAAATAATACGTTGATATATTGAAGATATTTTCTCCACAAATAACTAAGGGCTACTCCCGGTCTGAGTCATCAAAAAGTCTTGGTCCTGTGGTCTAGTGGTATGATTCTCGCTTTGGGTGTACTTCGGTAAAAGCCTAATCTGCGAGAGGCCCCGTGTTCGAACCACGGCAGGACCCCTTTTTTTTCAGTTCATTATATACCTATCCTATATATATAAGGGTTTGCTAATTACACCGCAGTTTGACTAATTACACCGCCGCTAAAATTTTTTGAGCGTAGTGTATACTTACAATTACATAGAAAAAAACTAGTGTTGTAAAGTACATTTACAGCTTTTTTACTACCATGTATAGATGCATAGATGCTCAAGCTGATCAAGTGCTCAAGCTGCTCAATCCTATAGTATTTTAAAATTACTATAAGATATCTTTAAAATCATTTATATTCATTAACGCTCTATAGAATGTAAAAACATTCATATCTTAATACATTCTTGTAGTGTCTAAGAACCTCAGGCGCAGGCATCTAACCACTCGATCAAAAAGATCACACAACAGTAATATCCATCACTATTACTAGCGCTCGAATCTTATATATAGCTATACTCCTCAGAGAATACCGCTGTGGCATGACACATTTATTAAAAAGAGAAGTGTATTTAACTCTATTTACAAGTATTTAATGTCATCTAATGATGAAGAGCTCGCAGATTGTATAGAAGAAACACTATAAAGATTTGTTTTAATAACAACGTCTGTCATCGAGCAGCATACAGTGTATTTCACTAGCACAGAGCTCTTTATTAACAATGACAGCGTGCTCTCTCTCTTCACTGCTTCTACAGTTCTTAAGAATTCTAAATCAACTGCTTGTAAACGTTCTGCAACTATTACATCTTCACTACACAGTCCTCACTCTCAGAATCACACTGTCTGTAAATCTGATCACATTCTTATTTACAGACAATAAATAGCGAGTTCTTTAAAACTCTGGCGGGAGAGAGGAATGTAATAACAGATCTGCATGAGATGCCGGTGTTGACATTACAACACTAGTTTTTTTCTCTGTAATTGCAAGTATACACTACGCTCAAAAAATTTTAGCGGCGGTGTAATTAGCCAAACTGCGGTGTAATTAGCAAACCCTTACATATGTATGTACTGTATGTATGCTTGCATTATTTCTGATTTGTTTAATACGTAATATGCAGATGCTGCAGCTCTCTTTTATTTGCTTTGTTCGCATGCTTGCCTGACGGATATAACAACATGCAGCCCAAAACTTAGAGAGAATACCGCCAAAACCGCATTGCTGGAGCATATAATTTTTCTAACCTTGCGCGTGGCTTTGCTATTTATAGCCTGATTGTATTGTATATACATACATATCTTGCAATATGACGTTCATTATCCAGTTGCTAGGCATGGCGCAAATCGACCCCTAATCATGTGCAATGATAAGATAGCCGAGTCGTGGGTAGATGATAATAAGGGCTATCCAAACATACGGTGGAAACACAGTACCCAAAAGACCATATTCAGGACAAGGATTGTCCCCATTTTTGCAGGTGTTCTTTGCAGCAGGAACACGATCAACAGACGTTGTCTTCTAGTTCTTTGATCAGAAGGATTCTGGAAGACATCTGATTGTGAAATCACTGACACTTCGGACGGTACGCGTGATTTACTGAGAGTGCTGAGAGCTTGGAGGAGAAGTACCTGTGCAAGCAAGGCATGACCCAAGAAGGTCCTGGTCTTGTACATCGAGCACTCTTGGGAGATCTCTGAAATATTCGCTCGGTGGTACATATAGTGCCTGGCTCGGGCGGTCGAACGCCGGATTGCATCGCTGGTAATCGTAGGCATAAAGATAGTCGCAAGCCTGGTAATGGTAACCGTTGATCGCACATACTCGATGGAACTTGGAAGAGGCTGGATTGACCGTATTTTATTGAAACTGGTCACTAAATATCTACGGATTTAGGTAGGGCAAAAGATGAAGACCCATCGTAAGTTTAAGCTCCCACGATGATCAGTAACTCAGCTCGCACTAGTCCCACTCAAAGGCTAACTGTAATACCCTAACGATCTATGGGTACTAGTAGTAGGTGGACGAGTCGACTTCGAACAACCCGGTGTTTTATATACATGCCCTTCACGGCCAAACGAGCAGCTGCTATGTCAGAGATATCCGGAGAATCAGCAGTAGATGCCGTACCAATGTCCAAAATTTTCCGAAACATCCAAAGCGCGTCATTTTACGACTCCGTGTGAACGAATTCGATGGTCGTAGCCCAACGGAGTTTGACCATGCTATCAAAGCATACCTAGCATCTGCAGGACGCCCTGTCGACGAACTCACGCAGAGAATCCATTACTCGCATATCGAGCCTTTCCAGCCCCCAGAGTTGAAACAGAGGTCATTCCATATAGTCCAGGACATTGAAAAGGATATGTTCAGTGATCCGGATTTTGACGAAGTAAAGCACGAAGTCCACCGTATTCGCCGAGCTAAGAATGGAACATTGTAAGAATACTATTTTTTTTTATTATCGCGCTCTTAATTTTGAGAAGCTCGAACTGAATCTGAACAGCAAAGTCGATCGAATCTCGAATCCAGTTGAAGAGCAGAACTTTGTTCGACAGATGCGACATTTCACGGATACCTTTTATCCCTGGGCCAAATAATGGGGTTTATCCTGCTCAGTTAACTCATGACATCTGGGCTCCAGACCTAATTTGTAACTGGCCTGCCTGGTTTTTCCATTGGGGGGCAGGGGAAGGGGTTGTGTTTGGATCTGGGCAGTACTGGTGATACGAAACCTTTGAAACGACGGGTAGCGTCTGGAAATTATAATGATTTCCTCAAGGGGCGATTGGTTTCATTACTGACATGTGTCTCTGCGTATGTGACTGCATGGTAAATAGTTATATCCCGCGATATGATTTCTCTAAATCTGGGTGAATACGCCTCATTAAGACGCTGGTACTTGTGCTCTGCTGAACACAGCGAAATTTATACACAACGCTGTCTTTCAAATTCTAATCTGGTATGAGTAATGGATATATTGAGAAGATGCCGTAACTTTGTTATTTCATGAGATAGTTGGCACGGTACCTCTAACCATGTCTCCTCAGCTTGTCAGGCTTGCGTACTTGGAGTAATCTTCTGAACACTGATCAGGCAGGGTATTCCTCGTGGGAGTTGTGCCAATTTCGCTCAAATTGAGGCAAGCAACCCAGCAAAGAACTCTCCCTATTGGATGCAAGTTTCGGTGAATAATAGGGTGACAGATAACACCATTTTGACACCCCCTGCATCAGAGCACATCTGCCCAATCCGCTCAGAGTGGTGAAAAGAGGCCATTGTCGACAGCTAGTACAGACTTCGGCTCATGGCCTTTTTCCCGCAACACTGGGGGTGTTTAGCGGCTTGACCAAAAGTCCTCCAAAAAGGACCAAGTAAATGAATTGTGCCCGGGCCTTGGGCGGCAGGAGTACCCTAGCATGTAATCAGATCTTAGTCATGTTTCCACCTCATTTGCGGCAATAAGCAGCGTATATAGGTGCTGTAGCTGAGCGCGTGGGAGCAGGGCTGGGGTTGATTGGGTGGGTGGACAAAGCTGGGAGCTGTGAGTTTTGATAGGGATTTAGATGTCCCATGTGTCCCGCAGCAGCTAAGTTGTTGAACTACGTTAGTAAATGCGTAACTACTCTTGGAGGTTGCTCGGGGGGGGTTTGTAGTTTGTGGTCTGTTGTCGCTGGAGTAGTATTAAACTATAGTACGGAGTACTCCGTATGTCAATTGACGGTGGCTTGGGTCAAGTACTATACTGTAGTAATGTTCTGGCCCCAGATGTATCCTACGCTGGAAATAGTATGGGGGTTGACATCCATGTACGGAGTACGGAGTATGCACCACTTTAATCAAAATTTATGACTTCACATTCGGAGTATAAAAAAATTATTTTATCATATCTGTCTCAGATACAATTGAATTTCGTATCCGTACTCCATAATCTGCATTCATATTCTATGATACATGACCCTGTTGCGTGTATCGAATAAGTTGCTGTACAAAGTCTTCCGTACCTGTGGCTCAGTTTTTGGCAATTACCAGTAGGGGGTAACTAATACTCCCTAAGAACCTCTCCAACTGCCCTCCCCAGACGCAGCAGATTTGGGGCCAATCGGCCGTTGTGATTAGCATGAAGCAAGATACGGATAGAAAACCGGGGCTGATATTGGCCGAGGATGATTGGTTGCTGGCTGCTTTGCTACAGGGAGTTTGCAGATGTCGTACAAGCTTTTTTGAGTTTTTTTTTGAGTTTTTCGTGTTTTTTTGTTTTTAAATTTATTAACATCCATTAAATTTATTGATTAGTTATTACGCAGTTAAATTCTGTAAGGTACTGGCTGATCTTCTTGCTGTTGAATTTCATTCGGCATTCTTCCTTTTATTCCTGCAGGTATTTATTTATGTTAATTATTTTCATTTTTATGGGACAAGCTACAGTTATATAATTATATAAATGTAAATAGTCCGTAAAAATTGCTATTACACATATTATTTATATGTACGGAGTATATATCTACTGTATCTGTATATATATTTTTTGTTTTTAATTTTTTAGGTTTTATTCTCTTCTACAGTTTGGTGTCACCAGCCACCCGCCATCCATCGTCCTCCATCAATCATCACCATCAGGCGATCAAAAAAGGAACGAACATCAACTCAAACTCGCCTCAACCCCGGTCAACTCGGTCAAACTCCAAGATCTCCAACAACCACAATTACCAAACACATCTCCAAATCATCTTTTTTGCTTTTCTCCCCTTTATATTTATCTGCTTCTTCTTATTCCTTCTCTATTCCTTTTCTTCTTCTTATCCTGGTTCTTCCCCGTAATCCCACTGGCTTGCCCAATGTCCTCCCCATGTCAACGCCTTCTTCCGCTCCCGTTGATCCCTCGTCTACAACCCTGGTGACACCTGCGCCCGATGCCCCTCATGATTCGAGCTGCCTGCAATCTGAACGTAAATCTAATTCCAAGCCTAAATCCCCCGGCCGCGGCCCGCTCAGCCAACAGCCTGCCCACGTTGCCCACGTTGCCCCCGATGGCCGCGATGGCCCCGTTGGTCTCCGCACTGCTACTACTATTCAGACTACGATCAAT